GCAGCAATTATAATTATAATAAAAATAATAATCTAAGACAGTGACATAAAAACCGACCTAGTTTATAAAACGCAGGAGATATATTTCATCATAACAAAGACTTCCCTTTTTGAATGACCAGTTTTCAATCTCTCCACATTTTTGTAAAAACAAATACTTGAAAAAAAAATGCAAGAAGTCCATTAACGAAAGAAATTAAGTTTAGTATTCATTAGTTTCACGGCACTTGCAACACAATAAGGTCATATAAGTGAGGGGAAGATTAGAGGTGTTACAAGAGAGAAACAAACACAAAAAAGAAGGAGGAGAAATCAGGACGATAGATGTTTGTTAGGAAAAAAGGAGCAAACCACAGCAGAGCACCCGCCAACCACTCACTCAAAGATTAAAGGTGTTACAAGAGAGTAATAAACAATTTTTAAAAAGGAGAAGAGAAAAGGATGATACCGTTAGGTATTTGATAGGAAAGAAGGAGCAAACCACACCAGTTTAGTTTTAGTAAGGTTTTACAGCGCTCTAAACTGCATAAGGTCATATGAGCGCCAAGGGGTGAGGAGGTCAATAGAGAAGTCCATATGAAACCAGCACCAAAGCACCCGCCAACCATCTGCTACCTGGAGTTCTCGAGGATGGGCCTCAAGCAGACGGCGTTGAGAATGCTGTGCACGACCGACAGGAGACATTTCTTGATCTGATGGAGCCGGAGGGTCAGCTTCTTCCTCACGCTGACCACAGACGAAAGAGAGAAGAAGACACATTGCTTTGTTTTAGTAAGTGTTTTACGGCACTTGCAACACAATTAGTTTAGTTTTAGTAGAGGTTTTACGGCGCTCGCAACTGTATAAGGTCATATGAGCGCCAGAAGATTAGAGGTGTTACAAGAGAGTAACAAACATAAAAAAGAAGAAGGGGAGATATGCCCCAAAACTGACGAGCGCCTGATTCCACCACGTTGTGACACATTTGGTAGACAACACCACGTTGGCAGCTGCCTGGTAACAAAGTTTATCCTTTAGTTTATCAATAACAACAACAACAATCCGGATCGGTAACATCCTTTGGTTTTATCGGCACATAAAATTGGCATAATGGACTGGCAATTCCGACAAAGTGTTCGGACAGATGCTGACCAGCGAAGGTGTTCGTACCTGGCCGAGGGGAAGTCGTGCTGTTTGATGGCCAAGGTCAGCTCTGGCGTCACGGCTTCGTAGAAATTGGCGATCCTGCGGGATAGACAGACGGGTTTCAAAAGAGTATGCACGTGTACAAGTACAGAAATGTAAAGAGCTGAAATTGTTAGAAAGAATTTCCTCCACAGGTCAAATAAAGTATCTTATCTTATCTTATCTTATCTTACCTTACCTTACCTTACCTCACCTTATCTTACCTTATCATATCTAATCATACCTTACCTTATTTTATCTTACCTTATCTTACCTTACTTTTTCTCATCTTATCTCATCTTATCTTACCTTGTCTAATCTCATCTTATCTTACCTTGTCTAATCTCATCTTATCTTACCTTATCTCATCTTACTTACCTTATTTCATCTTACTTACCTTATCCCATCTTATCCTACTTACCTTATCTCATCTTATCTTACCTTATCTCATTTTATCTTACTTACCTTATCTCATCTTACTTACCTTATCTCATCTTATCTTACTTACCTTATCTCATCTTATCTTACTTACCGTATCTCATCTTATCTTACATTATCTCATCTTATCTTACCGTATCTCATTTTATCTTACTTACCTTATCTCATCTTATCTTACTTACCTTATCTCATCTTATCTTACTTACCTTATCGCATCTTATCTCACCTTACCTTACCTTATCTCACCTTACCTTACCTTATCTCACCTTATCTTATCTTACTTACCTTATCGCATCTTATCTCACCTTACCTTACCTTATCTCACCTTACCTTACCTTACCTTATCTCACCTTATCTTACCTTATCTCACCTTATCTTATCTTACTTACATCAGTAGCAACCTCCACAAGAACAAAACAAAACTTATCTCTTTAATTAACCCCTGAATTATTTTCTACGATTAGACGGAAAGATTCCCAGATCTCATGCGCTTTCCAATCTATTATGTTTGAGAGGAAAGAGGGAGCAAACCACGCTAGGGAACCTGTCACTACGACAGTCCCACATTTAGTCAGATACCTGCTCAGATTAACTCACTTGAGCCTATTCCCATGTATTTACGGGACACCCGGCCGGTCTGGTGGCACAATCCTGTGTATTTACGGGATACGCTTTATCGATCGATATCTCCAGTGTTTTTGCGTTACGAGCTACTGGAAGTGGTAAGCCAACAGTTGACCCACTTATTTTGTACTCACGCATTGCGATAGATGATTTTATTACAAATTGGGCAAAAATGAATTGCGTAACCCAAAGATAATAATAATAATAATAAATAGCATTTGTATAGCGCATATCCCCGCTCAACAGCAGGCTCTATGCGCTTTACACTATATTATTACCCCAGCAGACCATAGAACACTCCGAAACATTCTCAGCTTCCAGGGAAGTATACAGCGCAAGCAGCTGATTAAGCGCTCAAACACTAACAAACTGACAAGATCTTTCGCTGTCTATAGCCGGGTACCCATTCCCACCTGGGTGAAGTGAGGAAAAATCGTGTAAAGTGCCTTTCCCAAGGACACAACGTCGGGCCCCTGGCAGGATTCGAACCCACGACCTTACGGTTGCGAGTCCGAGAGCCTAACCACTAGGCCACCGACGCCACAAAGACATTGCCATTTCCACATATTAAAAAAATGCAAATTATTTGAACAACTTAGGTGAAATTTTCTTTTTCTGCGAGAGCATTTCTTTCCTTCTTTTGTTGCATTAACAAAATTATGAAAACTTTCAGTCTTTTTTTTCGTGGTTAAAGATTCAATATACCCTAAAACTGTCAGGCAGCAATGCTTATTGGTTGAAAAATAGCTCAGGCTCAAGTGAGTTAACACTTTGTAATCTCACAGCCAGAAGTACTAAATACCCCATCTGGCCACCCAGCCAGGAGAGCTGCCACTGCAACAGACTTATCAGACCTGGTGCAGAACTGCGTCAGGTGACCGCAAACTGTTAATATGAAAAACATCTCTCCCCTCTTTGAAAGACACAACCATCGACCAGATATTGAGAAAACCATGTGAAATTTTAAAAAAATTAAAAGTGAAAAACCAATTTCGAACAAGTGACATACACGGGACAGAACAGGAACTGCTGGAAGATCTGACAGGCGGGTGGGTGCACGTCGAGGAATCGGTGTAGCGTGTCGGCCGTGTCGCTCAGGTAGTGGACGATGTCCTCAAGGTCGGACGAGGACATAGAGGACAGGTTGTTCCCCGAGGCCACCGAGTCCTCCAGCTTCTGGGGCGCCATCAGGGACGACTCGAGTTGCACGCCGCACCGTGCTGCTATGTTGGTGAACACCTGGAGATAGAGAGATTTGTTTGTTTTAGTAAAGGTTTTACGGCGCTCCCAACTGCATAAGGTCATATGAGCGCCAAGGGACGGAGGTCAACAGAGAAGTCCTTACAGGAAATCAGGCTTACTCTGCTCACCTCTCTAGCCTCAACAACACAAAGTCTGCTTCGACTATCAAGGCACCATGAAAATAGCGGGTCACAAGAGTGTGACAAGCATACAAAAGAAGTAGAGGAAAAATGACGAAAGTAAGGATTAGGAAAGAAAAAGCAGCAGTTCCCTGTTGCAGTTCTGGCACAGTTATGAGCTTGACATTGATCAATCAGCCCATTTACAATTACAATTCTACTGTGCATAAGAACTCGAGATGTTAATGTCCCCCCCTTTGAGAATGGCCTAAAGACACTAAAGTCAGTAGCACCGCCCCGGGGGATATTGAAACTGTGACTAGGTTGTTTTTTTAAAGAATTAGAATTCAAATTTCAGAATGACCCTATTTTTGAATGATTACACTGACAAAAAAAAACCCCTCTTTTTCTCAAAACTGCTCTGAAGAAAAACAAAGGCGTTATGTCAGCTTACAGTAGAACAGGGACACAAAAGAAATCAGAAATAGGACGAGCAGATTACAACACACTGCCCATCAAACACCCACCCACGGCGGAGGAAGAGACACCACCCCAAAACTTCACCTGCAGAATGGTGGGCACCGTCTCCCTCAGGTCGTTTAGAAACCCCCAAAAAAGAAATAGGATGAGCAGACCACACCACAGCACCCACCAAACACCCACCCACGGCGGAGGAAGAGACACCACCCCAAAACTTCACCTGCAGAATGGTGGGCACCGTGTCCCTCAGGTCGTTAAGGTACTTGGGCTGTTGCATGAAGATGTTCCCCACCATTTTGTTGAGGAGCGAGCCGTTTGTCTTCCCGTACAGGGAGCAGAGGTCAAGGACTTTTGGGATGTCGAACAGGAAGTTCTCATACAGGATTTCTCCAAACACCTCCGGAGTGATGAAATGATCCTGTCATAAAAACAAAACAAACAAAAATAAAAAAATCAGAGAAGCTTGTCATAAAGCGTTCTGAAACAAAGAAAATCTGGGACTACAAAAAGTGGGCCATGGTCTACAATCCCCCACATCAACAATTCTAAAGCCAGGTTAACATCAATACTTGTTTGACAAAATAAAAAGTAACAAAAAATTCACTATAAAAAATTTGTCAGAATAATGATAAACAAACAAGTGATCAGAAATTCAAATTCATGATAAACAAATTAGAGATTAGAATGTGAAAAATACAGTCCTCTAAACCAGCAAATTGTATTTTACGAGCAAACTCCCCCCCCCCCCCCCCCCCCCAAAAAAAACCTTATCAAAACACTTTAACAATCGAGAGAGAAAGAAAGGCCAAAACACTTTTCACAATCAACTTGAGCTCCTATTGTGCAAACATTTTGAGCATCTCTCCCCAGAATAACTCATTATCTTAATCATGATATGCAGAAACAGCAAAACAAATTGGAAATTAAAACCAGCTATCGTATAGTTTTTTTTAAACCCAAAGGATAAAACGACCTCCTTGAAAGAGTTTGACAACCATTCTTTGCTTGAAATTCAGTGCACAAAAGATGAGAGAAGGCACCTTTGACTCCTTGTGCGTCGACATGCGTAGATAAACCATGAACACAAGTCGACAGAGCTCTGCCTGACGCTGCTTTGCTGCTTCCGGAAGATTCATCAGCATGTCTCGTGATCTATATTTAGGAAAAGGTCAGAGAGTGAGTCTGGTATAAATTACATTCCTGTAACAATGATATGATATTATGGTCGCTTTTAAGGAGAGTTTTCTCTATAACTAAACAAATATATACACCAAAGAAACCAAACTTCTCCTATCGGTAGGGCAACACCCACTTTTGGTGAAGGTTGAGATTTCTGGAAACCCCCGAAATCTGGGCTAGCCCGCTTGTCCTTAAAAGCGACCATATATTGATGCAAGAATGCTGAAAAAGAACAATAGACTGAAATGAAAGGTAAATTTTAATAAGAAAGAAAGAACTTCCGACCGCACTTCCCCACCACCCACAAGAAGTCTTCCACTGAGATTTTTTTTTTCTTAATAAATGTTTTACGGCACTTGCAACACAATAAGGTCATATAAGTGCCGAAGATTAAAGGGGTTACTAGAGAGTAACAAACACAAAAAAGAAGGAGGGGAGATCAGGACGATAGATGTTTGATAGGAAAGAAGAAGCAAACCACACCAGAGCACCCACCAACCACCCTCAGATAAGAGACTGAAATGAAACATAAATTATAAGAAAGAAGGAACTTCCAACAGCATTTTCCCACCACCCACAAGCAGTTTCCCACTAGGATTACCTGGGACAATAGCGCAGAAATGAGTCCAAAGCTTTGTGAAGGCTGTCATCAAACACTGCCTGAAAATAGAATAAAATAAAACAAGATAAAATACAATAAATTTGTAAAGTAAAGTCAAAAACTATTTAAAACTAAGTGACAGAAATAGTAACAACAGTAACACACCTATTTAAAAAAACCATCCCAATGTGTTTCTAGCTGCTATTTAAATTTCAGAACCTAATCAAATCCGAATAATGAATACTTTACTGTACTTTATAAAGATACGACAGTTGGAAATAAAACTAGTACACTATAAAAAAAGAATTTGTCGTACTACATTCCTGCAGGTAAATAAAGGTAATGCGGAGCCAAAACTATATTTGAAATGGTGAGTAGCTACTCCTCTTTTAAATTCAAAGAAGATGGAGCCTCCCATTAAAATGTTGACTATCACTCTCTTGTGAACTGCTATTAGCGTGGTGCCTTGATAGTCGAAGCAGACTTTGTGCTGTTGAGACAGGAGAAGTGAGCAGAGTAAGCCTGATTCCCTGTTTGGACTTCTCTGTTGACATCCATCCCTTGGCACTCATCATGACCTTATAATGCAGTTGTGAGCGTCGTAAAACCTCTACTAAAACAAAACAAAAAAAACAGATTCTCCAGCTGACCTGGCACCAGAACTTGTCGTGTGGCTGCTGGAGAAGCCAGTGCAGGTCGTCGCACAGATACGCCACTCGCTCCATCCACGCGTCGTACTCCGCGCGATCGTCCATACTCTCAGGGGGGGTCACGTACTGGACAAACACCATTTTCTCGATACGACTCGGATGCTGTAAGGAGTAAACCAAAAAAAATTGAATTAAAGTATTTTTGAGGCATCGTGGTGAAATCAGGCGCTCGTCAAAATAATGAAATCAAAGAAATCGACATTTTTGGGGCCGATGTGCAATTCTTTTCTAATTTTCTTTTTTTTGACTCAACACCTTTCATGTCCATTTTTGTATTGATTTCACTGAAACATTGATTAAAGGCACATAACATGTAAATTTTCAGTTTCCAAGGACTCTCAGGCTATGAAGGTTACCAAACTTTAGCAGCCATTTTCTCGCTAATTTTACCTCTGACGCCAAGCGACCCTGACCTCCTTCAATCGCAAATATTTTGATTTCTATTCAACATAGATGGATATTTTTTCACCAAAAGGAAGACAAACGAACAGACTTTAAGATGATACCGATGATCCCATATGCCCAAAATTTGACAAGCGCCTGATTCCGAAACGTCGTGACACATTATACAATTCTGCTACTTACCAGCTCTATCAGGAGAATAGAAGCAAGAAGACAATCTTTGAAGAAACTTTTAAAAATAGTTTGGTACAATTAGAACTCAAAGACGTCATCACCTACAAAGGATGTTTAATCTTTCAAGAAACATAAAAGCCTCACTTGTCAGCTTAATCGAAACTTAAAAAGGTTGGCACACATGCCAAACAATGAGTGGAGATAGGGTGTAAGGGTTAGCAGTAGAAACATAGAATCGGAAGCCCCTCTGAGGCTGAAACCCCTCAGATTTGTAAACTAGAATAAAGTACTAGAATATACTATCATGTATGATAAGGCTTTGGTATGTATTATTTTAAAAACTATTGAATATTTCAGAATTTATTATCTACCTGACTACTGTCAATTTGCATTATAATTATAATACATGTAGAAATGAACAAAAGGAAAGTGCTGTACATTACAATGCCTGAGTAGGAGCATGAGACGGAAGTGAAAGTAAAATAAAGATAATAATACCGTGTTAGGTATTGTTTACTGGAGTGGTCGCTCGTTACGGAAGTCCTTCGACAAAAAAAATCAACGGCTAGAGGGTTACACAGGAATTTAATAAGCCCCCTTCTATATCTCATAATCTGAAGTTTTTAAAATACAGTTGGGTTTTTAATTTTATATTGATTTGCGATAGTTTAGAGGCCATATATTATGTAATCTGCAGCAAGCAACACCACTGAAGTTTGACCCCCAAAGCAGTGCTTTTCTGTGTGCGGGAGAGAAAGGAAAAATTCATTGTAATCAAGGAGTTAGGGCAAGGGTTGGTAAGCAGGGTTAGTGTTTAGCACCCATTGGCAAGATCGGATCAGTTTGGTTTGCTTTAGAAGGTGGGGCTTGCCATATTAAGGGCGAAAAACGACCAACGTGGCGCAAAGAAAACAAAGCCGACGCTGCCCCTAAAAGCAACGCATTTGTTTTTCAAGGCCACAACTCGGGTGATCGGTTTGTGATAGAAAGGATCCCCCAATGCCCAAGGCCAAGGACTGAAGTATGAAGGCTGAACGAATAAATAATGAAGGCTTCTCTGACTGAAGACGAAGGGGAAAGGTTGGCGCTTTTTCGGTAGATCTAGATCTAGTTCCCACCACTGAATTGTTGTTCGCGGGTTTTGGCCCCAACAAGAGTAGGGGGGGTTTCACTGAGTTTCAGGGGGGCATATGCCCCCCTGATTTTACCATAATTTGATGTTTTGCAGTTGTTAGGTTTGATATCTTAGCTCACCGCGCATCAAACCGTATAGATCTAGATTCAAATATAGGGGGGTGGGAACTACCGAAAAAGCACCGAGCCGAAGGGTTAGCCTACCCTCATCCAACCACCTTAATAACCTTATCCATAAAATGTGAATAATATGTGGAGAGTTGGCAGACTGCCGAGAAATGGACTACACTGAGAGAATAGCTTATTTCTCCCAACACCCCTCCCCGCCCTCCCTCCCCAGGTAAAATGTAAATCCATCTCGAATCTCTACTTTCGTTTTCAATTTCACATTTCTTACCAGAGATGCTTGCGTTTTGTTACCATCTGGTAAAACTTCTTTCATTTTATCTAACGGAACAGGCATCGTCTTCCTTTTAGGTGATCCCTCAACAATAACAAAGGGCAGAATCTTCGTGTATGGTGCCAATTTCCTTTCCTATCGGCGGACGACACAACGTCGCCTTCGTCTCGTAAAACAGTTGCCGACTTTCTCGCAATAATGCAATCCCGAAACCGGATGTTATTGGTGAGTACCTCAGTTTCCGGTTGCCGGTTGCTAGTTGCCAGATTGGGCAAAACAAAAGACCGATTCTTTTGAATTTCACATGTTTATTCCCACCATTGACTATGATTCCGACGATTAAATTCCATACCAGTCAGGTTTGTTGATCATGTTATTACGCCTTGTAATCTTGTTTTATATGTGCGAAACAGGAAAAACAGCATCATTGAGAAGCATAACATAAACCCACAGCAATATAATACAAAGTTTTACCAACTTACAACAACAAACAACAAAAACAACAAACAACAAACAACAACAATAACAAACAAAAGAAAACCAAGAAGACTAGCTTCACCTTGCTAAAAGTAAAAGCACATTGTTTCAGCTCAACTTGTTTCGGTTCTTTTTGTGCTCATCCAATTAATTGACTCCCTTCCAGCCCCCAGCCCCAACCCCATCTCTCTCTCTCTCTCTCTCTCTCTCTCTCTCTCTCTCA